AATTTTCCAAGCAAACTTTTTTTGAAACTGCTTTTTGAAACTTTTTTTTGAAAAATAACAAAACCTAGAAGTCAGGTTATAAAGCAGAATAAGAACTTTAGAAATTAGAATAAGAAAACCAAAACTCTTTTTAAAAACTTAAAATTTACACACACACACACACACACACACACACACACACACACACACACACACACACACACACACACACTTTTGCCTGTCAGCAGCTAGAGGTGCAAGGCCCCAGAACCAAAAACCCCCTGCACCCATCTCCTTGACAGCTGGCAGGCTTTGTGGCCTCAGCAGGGGCTAGTATGCCAGCAGTTTTCACCCTGTTACATCTTAACACACAGTGTCACCCATGTCATGAGTTTTGCTTGTCAGCAGCTTGAGGTGGTTTCCCCAAAACCCCTGCACCTATCTCCTTGAAACTTGGCAGGCTTCATGCCCTCAGAAGGGGCTAGCAAGCCTGCAGTTCTGACCCACTATGGCTTAACATATACATGACTTGAGTTTTTTGCTTTCAAGACTATGAGGTGCAGTTTCCCCGAAACCCCTGTACCCATCTCCTTAAAAAACTTGGCAGGCTTCAGAAGGGGCTAGCAAGCCTGCACATTTCATCCAAATCAGGCCAGAAATGACGAAAGTTATAGGCTGTTTCAAGCTTCCCCATTATAGCCTATGGGCGAAACTTCAAAACAGCAAAAACTGTTGTTTCAACAAAACGAAAACGGAACAGCGGTTTTGAAACAAAATTCAAAACAAAACACTGTTCCGTTGAAACAGAACAGTGTCATTTCGCACAGCCCTATTAAGTAAGAAGATTGTTCATACTACAGAAAACCTATACCAGCTCCATACAGCTGTCTGCTCAGTCTGCTATAAATGCTATTAAAACTTTTGGAAGACATTCACAATTTCCACAGACAGAAACAAAATGCACAATTAATAAATGCCCAATATTAGATAGTAACCCAGAAATTTAGTAGAACTACACAAAATAGCACTAACCCTAATACGCTTGCAGTCGAAAACAAAGTCATCATTAGACCATGCTCCATAAGACTGCTGAGCTAAACAAGCAAACCCAAGATCTGAATACCTATGACAAGATTGGTGACAAATCAGTTTTTGGCTTCAAAGTCCTGTGTTCCTATGCTTCACCTTTGGTGGTTAGAATAGCACCCATCAATTTTCTTTGCTACCTCCTTATGAACCACATCTCCAGTTGATCCAAGCAGAACTTTTCTCTCATCACAAAGCAAGTGGGACCAGGGGGAGAGGAAGAGAGGAATTCACCACAGTAGGAATCCCACTCTCTTACATTCCTGTCAGGGAGCATTCAACAATCCTTATACTACTTGTATACTTTGGGTCAAGCAAAGAATAGCATGCATAAATGCTGTTGCATTCAGCAAGTGGATTTAAGAGTACAAATGAGTGAATTCCTGTGAGCCCTACTAATACTTGTTTCCACCACTCCCTTCTCACTATACATTTCATTCATATTCAGATGTACGAGTACTCTTATCAAAATATGATGAGCTAACATCAAGGCTGGGATTGTAGCCAATTTGTTAAATTAAAAATATAACTAGTCAGTGAAAAGGTTACATGAGCCTAAGAACATTTTAATTGGAGTTTATTGCCGTATAGATCAGGGGTCAGTAACATTATTGGGCAGAGTACCAAAAACACCTGCAACCTCAACTTATAAGATGTTGGCGTGCTGTAGCAGATGCACGGGGCCCAATCCTTGTTGTGACAATGCAGTCCCAGCCCATTTCCCACCACCCACCCCGAGGCACAATATGCCTGCCATGAAGCCTAAGCTGCTTGCAGCAGACAGTGGGAAGGCTGCAAGCAGCTGCACTGGGGTCCATGGAGCCCCGGTCCAGCTCGTTGCCAGCAGAAGGCGCGCGCGCACACACACACACACACACCCCCCTCAAGGTGGACAGCAGGAAAGGGGCTAGGACTGCATTGGCACAACAAGGATCTGGCCCCTTGGCAGCTCCCCTGCATTTTTGCCCTGAGGCATGCTTGCCAAGAAAAATGCCTGTGCACACCACAGACGGCCACACATGCCTGGGGTTGCCTACCCCTGCTATAGATCCTGAGGGGGAGGGGACAGAAATCAAACAATTGTTTCTCAGCTACAATGAATACTTGGATCATTTAAAATATCAGGATTGTTATATAAGCAGTTTAACATTCAGAAACAACACAAATGAAAAGATTCAGATGCTTGATGTTTAAGCACATTCAAGTGAGGGTAAAATACAGAGTTCTTGCCCAAAACAGTTATTAGTTCCAGATACATTCATGTTTTAAAACCATCCATTTCAGAACTATAAATGGAAAAATAAGAATAATTGAATGTACTTATATTCTGCAATTCTAAAATTTATGTTCATAGGCTGCCATCACAAGAAATACTGATTCTTTTCATTTAAAAATTGAAAACAAACAAAACAAAACAAAAAAAAACTGATGAACTACTCACCTCTGGCTGAATTGCTTTAAATACAGGAACATCCATTAGTGTTATCTGACCCTGAAATGAAAGAGTCAGAAATTATGATCAAAATTAATTTTCTTTTAAGCTATTATGTTACAAGGCGTCTATCTTGTTTTACTACTTCATTTTGTTGCATCATCATAACCTGTTTGGAAATATCACAAAAAGATAGGTCATATCTATAAAAAGACATCACCCATAAAAATCCTTGCCTCTTGCATAATTCCTGGACCATCATGGCAAAAACAACATTCCAGTACTGTTATAATAGCTACTAATTCCTGAACTGCCATCTTTTTCATTGATTTTAACTACCAACCAAGCAGTAAGAATGAGAGCAGTAGTTAAAACGCTGAAGATTAGAATTCAGCATATGGACTAAGGTAACAGTTAAAAGGAGGCCAGACAAGCCTGCCTCCAGAAGTCCATTTTAAGATGTAACGAGTAACAGAACAATAATGTTATTCCAAAACTCCTTTACCCTTCACATAAGACGGTGTGTCCTTTTCACTCGTAACAAGGACAGTAAAACACACTGTACGTCTATAACAAAAATAATTCTTTTCTTAATTTTAAAAGAATGACTACAACTGAAAATGACAGACAGACTTTTAGTTTTAGGAACTCGATGAAAAATGTGAATCATTCTGGAAGGTCAGTTTCATGCCACACTGTTAAAAACTATTTTGCCCTATATTGTAATTAAGTAAATGACACACAGTTACAAGAGTCACAAACCCATGATTCTTGGTGCAAGATTCCAACCCGAGGCACTCAACCCCTGACCCATGGAGCCATGTCATCCAGCCCACAGGGCTCCCACATGGCTCTGAAAATCTGACAGCCAGGGAACAGTGGCATGATACACTACCATTCCACTGCTTCCAAATTTCTGGATCCGTGGGATGAGCAGAGGCTGCAAGGGGCAAATCCTCCAGGCATGCAGCAGAATAACCAAGGGGGCTCAGGGCTGATCTGGGCATGTGAGAGCCAGGCTGAGGCAGCACAAGGCTCAATCTAGGCAACAGGGTTTGGGAGAAGCAGCACAGGACCTGATCTGGCAGCATGGGGCCCAAGCGGTTCAGGGCCCAATGCAGCCTGTGGACCAGCTATGCACCACTCATTCCACCTGCACGACTAGAAGATTGGGCACCACTGGCATTATATTTATATTTGACAGTGCATGTGAAAACAGTCAAATCTGACTTGCAACAAGTTACTGATAAGGACAGGTTACCTCCAGTTAGTCTGCCTGTTGGGATGTTGGTTTTCTAGAATTATAGCCATTTTCATTAGTTGCCTGCTACAAATTATTTTTTTACTCAGTTATGTTACCAGTAAGAGATGGTTAGGCCTTAGCCCATAACAACAGCAACAGGCGTATCAAAAAAAGAATACTGGCACCAGCTCAACTGCCTAATTAACCCTCAGTTGGAAGGCTGGGAACATGTACGTAGCAACCATTAGATGAAGTTTTAATGTCGCCCAAGAAAAATTCCATAGCTCCAATGGAGTGTTAAGAATTACATTGAATACATACAGGAAAAGTGTTTCAATGTAGGAACTAATTCAATACCTTTTTGTGCACTAAAAGGAATAAACAGGCTTCCTTTATTTATCAAAGGAGAAGTTCACATGCACTGTTCAGAAGAATATTTTGGAAGACTTCTCTCAAAAAGGTCATTTTGTAGCACTGAACAATAACATGGATCAAAATGCATAAGGAACCTCACTGTTGAACGTTACTAAATTCAGTTATACAGATAAATTCACTCATGCAAGAACACAAAATGAATAAAATGTTCACTTACAAATTTCAATTTTCTGTGGAATTTTGTTTGCTTGGAAGAATGAGCCCTAAAATCCAAATTCTCTAAATTTTATCGTGGTCTAATATTTCATTCTTAGTGCTGGGAAATCTTCATACTGATCTCTTTAACTGATCTTTTTTGTTTGCTGGTATTCAAAATTCCAAAGATGAATGCTAGAAGACAGGTCTCAAAGAACAATTATGGTTTTCCTTGCCTTCACTCTAAAATCATTCTGTCCCTTCTTCAAATAAGCATCCTACTGTCAAACAAGAATTGCAAGCTGTCACTGCAAACCTGTACCCTACTGCAAGGTGTGCAACCAAAATATTACAAGACTGTATCAGTGAACTAGAGCTAATAACCAAAACCAACTAGCATACTTTCATTGTCCACAATAGAAATCAGATATAAAGGACAGAGCAGATAATAAAGCTGAATTTTTAAAAAGCAGAATACTCAAAGTTGCCAGAAAATACCAAATATTAATTCTAATCAGTAATGTACTGCATGCGAATTTTTTTTTTGGGGGGGGGGGGGGGGG